ATGTGATGTGATGTGATGTGATGTGATGTGATGTGATGTGATGTGATGTGATGTGATGTGACTGATGTGATGCAGTACTGCTGTGGAATTTCCAATTATTTGTATTTGTTCACCTACTATACCCCCAAAATTTTTGGTCAAACTGAAAATCTCCATGTAAAGATTTGGTAAGCTGGAGTATTTTTTTAATGCTGAAAAGTCAACACTTTGAGTGAGGAAGAATAGACTTTGCAAGATTTCGTGTCCCCTGCCTCCCAGCAGGATCCCTGCTCCCAGGAGGGGCAGGCTGTGAACTAACCCAGTTCAGGCTTGATTCAGGGAATGGCTTAAGAACGTGTAAAACTCTCAACACCTTCAGATCCATTCTTAGCTCTGGCAAAGCATTTCAGCATATGGTCTTGAACACATGCTTAAAATAAATCCCACAGAAGCGTTTCACCAAGCTGGGGCGCTACCATGAGCCGCAGCCTGCAAGTTACGCAAATTCAGCCTTTATTGGGCACTTTAAAGTCCAGCAGAAGTAGCTATTGCAAACGAAAGCTAGTCAAGAGTTAAACCAGGCAGCAAGAAGTGACCCACATGGCACGAGCTGGAGCCGCGGTACTGTTACCCGAGATGAGTTTTGCTGGGCTCTGGCGTGGCTTATGCTGTCCTTCCTCAGAAGTGCCTGCCGGTGCCCTGTGAAGAGTAACGGTAACAGCTCTGCGTAATGAAAAGCCAGAGCAAACGTCTCAATCACTGATGCCCTCTGCGAAAACTAATTGCTGAGCCAGCCCCGCAGGAGTTCTGCTGGTCAGCTCTTCAAGAAAACGTCCTTGGGACAGAGGGCTCTGAGGAAAACGGTGGTTTTGCTGTGAACAGAGCAAGGAAATTGTAAAGTCCTGAAAATGTCGTTGCGGAGAGACCCAGGGCAGTGGTTCTGCTTCGCAGGGTGCTGGGCGTGAGAAGCGGTGAGGATGGTGTGGCTGGGCAGGGCTGGAGGAGGGACCACGGGGCGTCGCTGGCGCGGGACGGCGTCCACCAAGAGATGCCTTTGAAAGCCTCCGCCACACCTCAACGGAAAAGGGCAAACTCACAGGTGTAATTTTGGTTTTGACTTTCTAAGTGGAATGCTGCAAAATGGAGAGTTTAAAAAAATTAAATGTAATGTAAGAAGTACTTTTAAAAAAATACTTATAAAGAAGTATTTTTAAAGAAGTGTCGCTGCCTTGATCTTATTCAGCAAGAGGAAATCTGCTCAGTGAGAAACGCGGGTGAGAGCTCTACAGCCTGGCAGTGTCAGCAAACGCCACTTCAGTTTAAACAAAACCTCACTGCTCGTCTCTCGTTTTTCCAGCTGTCATTACTTCTCCTGACTCCCCGGTTATTATCTCCTCTCAGAAGCCTGGAAACACCCCGTGTTTTCCAGCAGCCGCCGTGCTGCCTCCTGCTAGAGCCTCTTTCGCCATCCTTTCTCCTGCCGCTCTCTGGAGGACCACGCTTGGTCCTTTACCGTCCTTCCGAGGGGCAGCTTTTCCAGAGGGATGCCCGCGGCAGCAAGCCCTAGAAAAACCTATTCCTTGCTAACCGGTGCTACTGAGTTTCCTGAAACACCCTCATTGCCTACAAATCCCACCATCCCAGCTGCCTCCCAGTTGGCTACCATTACAGAGCTGTGGGTTTGCTTGGATTTTTAACATACTTCAGAGCGTGCTTGATACTGTGCTATGATTTAGTGGAGACAGGTCACATTTTTGACCTAATGTACTAGTTCTTTTAAATATGGAAGTCAGATTTTACTCCGTACTTGTAGCTCGGAGTGCGGGAAGAGCTCTCCGTAAGTGCGACGGGACAGAGAGGCACCACGGCCACCCGTGCCTCTAATGGAAACCGATTTTAGTCCAGCAGAAAGCCATAACGATGTAATGGTCTCTGGCATTTTACCTTGATAATGCCATGGTATTTATAGTCTTTTTAATACATTTCATGACATAGTGCTGTTTTGTACCTGTTTTTCACAAGATCAATGAGAGAGAATGATAACCTTTTATAACTTTTTTCCACCTCCACAAGCTGTGTATGCACGGATTCAGGAAAAACGTGCTTTGCATCTCGCGGGGTGGGAGGCCCAGCCCCAGCGCGGTGCAGGGCAGCCGTTTTGACCGCAGGGAGGGGAGGGCGGTGGGGAACCCGTGGGTTTCTTACCCTGCTGCATCTCAGCCGTCCCGTATCGGTGCAGCTCCCTTCCTCCCACCGCATCCGAGCGCACTTGCGAAGGCGTCCTCCTCAGCACTGCCAGCCGGGCACCGGCGGCTTTTCATTTTGAGGAAAAAGACACCAGAACTGCATCTTAAAAGTAGAGGTTGGCATCCCACGGATGGTTTAACTGTATCCTGGATGTCCGAAGCGCTGTGCCTTTCAGTCCCCCTCGGCGGCTTGATCTGTGCACAGCACGGTCTGTGGGTATTTGTTAGATGGGCTTTAATGTAATCGCTAATTGTTGGGATTAGCAGCTGTGGGGAGCTTCTCCCTGGTCTCAAAGGGCTGTCAGGGCAAGGCGGGTGACTGATGCACAACCAGCAAAATAGAAAAAAAAAAAAAAAGGAAATATGGGCAGGAAGGTCATGGGAGAGTTTATAAAAGATGATGGAGCCCATGGGTCTCATTCTTGGAATGTAAATAGGGGGTAAAGTGCTGTGTGTGGGAGCCCGTGCCTCGCCCGTGGGCCACCAGCTCCCTGCACAGCCACAAGCCCGCCTGCGCTCAGCGGGGAGGGCTTCGCAGCGATCCCCCCGTCCTCCTCCGGCAGCGGGATCCCAGCCCGGCGGAAGGAGCCACCTGTCCCCGGCGAGGCCCCACCGCGGCGCGTGACGCCAACCGCTCCTGCCCATCTGCTCCTGCTGCGCCGGCGCACGGGACGGAGGGTGGGGTGGGATGGCGGGGGCTGGCGTCTCCCCCATCGGCACTGAAGGAAGGAGAGGTTTGCCCCTGCTTCTTCCGAGCGGGCAGGCTCTGGCTGCTGGCTGGGCAGCGCTGTGGGGTGAGGCCGGGTGCGTCCCTGGCGGCGGCCGAGCACGGCAAACCCTCTGCCATCCCTGCTGTCTGATGCCATCCCTGGCTCAGGCGTGGGCCGGCTTCCAACACGCCCCAGGCGGGTCAGCACAGGTCCAAATGCGTTCACATCCACCACCTGCACGGACAGGCACGTTGTGTCCGGGCTGGACTTGGCCTCTCTGATCCTGTACAGGCACCGGCTGCCCAACTCACCGAGGAGCTGAGCTCAAGCCTCAGCTCTGCAAATACCGCGTGGAAAAGGCGATGCAGTCACTGCGTTCCTGTGCCTCAGTTTTCTTCTGCCAGGGGAAGAAAATACCCTCCGTGTGCTTCGCAGCGTGAGCATCTTCAGGCAGGGCTTGCAAAAAGGGTGCCTGGCCACGGGTAAGTCTCTGGGCATCACCCCAATAACCTTGCTGCCAGCAAAGATGTTTATCGTGCATTTTTTTTGAACCTTGTGGTAAAACCTGCATTGTTTTTAACTCTGGTTTGGGGCACCTGGCATCCAGTGTCACCGGAGGTTTGCTGCTGGGAGCTGACAGAACTTGCCACACGTTGTCGTGATGCTTTGCAAGAAGGACAAGCCGTTCATGTAAGACACGCTCTGATGCCATGGTGACAAACAAGGTTAATAAACCCTGGGCTGATACAGGAGATGATGCCTTCGAGCTGGTGGCACAGCTGGCCTTTTCCAGGTCTCCGGAGCAGGCTCTGAACTCAGCTTGCATATGGTGACACAGGGAGATGCCGTCCCCCAGCATCGCTCCAGGGAGGGATTAGCACTGGTTGAGAAACTTTGGTGGTAACATATGGGAGCCTGGGGATAGTTTTGGCTCATGGTATTTCAAACCTGAGCCGGGGGAGCGGTGCCGGCACATCTGCTGGGGCAGGGCGATACCCAGGATGTGTGGGAAATGGTGCGGTGGTGGTGGCTCTTGCTGGGGACCCGCAGCTGGCTCCAGCCTTCCCATAGCAGCAGCTTCACCCGACGGAGAGAAAGGGAAAAGGACAAGTGCTCAGAGTCCCATCAAATGATTCAAAGGGGGAAAAACCCACTTGCTTTTTACTTTCTCCTGCCTCAAGGCCAGCCCTGCTGTTTTGATCCATCACTGCTGATACACTCCCTCTCCTATTTCATCTTCTTTCTACCATCTCCTTTCAACACTTGGTTAGTGCATAGGTCCTCATATCCTACTTCTTCACCCTCTGAAGGCCCCAGATAATGATGTCGACCTACCTGAAAAAGGGATGCGTGTGACTTGATCCAGGCCTCACCTGTGCTTCTCTCCTGGCCACAGAAATGGGGCTCTGAGGTCCTCCCAGACCTGCATGGCAGAACTGTGAGCCCAAGGAGCAATCATCGAAGCTACTCCTCTATTCCTTCCTTAGTCCCTCCAGTTGAGTAAATCAAGTCTCCTTCTTAGCTACCTCCCTCCCGTACAGATCCCTATCAAAAATATTGAGATGGATATGGATGAAACAGCAATGGAAATGTATGTGTGTGAAAGCACCAGAAGAAACAGTCACGTTTAAAAGAATGGTCTATATTTATTGGTAAACCAAGGAGATGACTGAGCAGTTAAACAGGTGAACCCTGGGGAACAAAAGGAGGCTGTAGCAAGGTGGGGGTCGGTCTCTTCTCCCCAGGAACAAGCGATGGGACGAGAGGGAACGGCCTCAAGCTGCGCCAGGGCAGGTTTGGGTTGGGTATTGGGAAAAACTTCTTCCCCGAAAGGGCTGTCAGGCCCTGGCCCAGGCTGCCCAGGGCAGGGGCTGAGTCCCCATCCCTGGGGGGATTTAAAAGACATGCAGATGTGGTGCTGAGGGACATGGTTTAGTGGTGGCCCTGGCCGTGCTGGGTTAACGGCTGGACTTGATGATCTTCAAGGTCTTTTCCAACCTAAATGATCCTGTGATTCTATGAAAAGAGGTGGAAAAGGTCTTTCCCATCAAAGCGTGGTGGTTACGCTGCGACAGGGCAGAAGCACAGCAAATCCCAGCGTCGTGCCCGAGACCGTGGCCCGCCAGCTTCAGGTCTGACCTAACGCACAGAGAAAAACAAAAGCAAGCATGAAGCGTGCTCAGCAGCAGGTCTGGAAAAGCTGCTAAGCGTGTCAGCTCTTCGGTGGGTAAAGAGGAGGGGCAGCTGCCAGCCAGGGCTGCGGGCAACCCCCGTCCCTGCCGGCAGCCGTGGGCACGGCCTGCGAGTCCGCAGCCCGGGGCCCTGAAGATGGTGTCTGCCAGCAAGGGGACACGGAAGCGGCCAGATGAAGGGTGCTGGTGTGACCAGAGCCTGCGTGCTTCCTCAGATGTCCTTCCCCAGCCAGGTCCGCCGGAGCAAAGAACGGCCTCTCCCCCAGGCCTTGCCCTGAAAGCGGGCTGTGATGAGCGGAAGGTGGCACGCAGGAGCGGACACCGCGGGTGGCACTAAGGAGCTGCCTTGATCTGAAGGTGGTGTCCCTCGGGGTGGTCTGCAGTCGGTGGGACTCCTACCTCCCTACCCACCTCGTTGGAGGAGGACCCGGGCTGAGGTGTTTGTTTTGGACAATGTCTGGACGGCACAAGGGCAGGGAGGGCTCATGTGCCCAAGCAAACTTTGCAGCATCTTTGGACATCACCAGCGCCTTTGTTGCAATGAGCCCCCCATTTCTCTGCGGTGCATTTGGTGCTGCAAGATCTCCGACATCCTTCCGAACCTTATTGTCCTTAATCTGTGTAAAAACCCTGGGGGAGGACGGTATAAACCCAAATCGGGGCTCAGGCCAGCGGTGAGAGGAGCTGAACCAGCCCTCGAAGGTGAGTGGTGGCCTCACCCCTCGCTCCAGCCGGCTGTCCCCACTCACACCCCCAGGCCTCCCTGTCCCCTCGTGCGGCGGTGACGGGGACCTGCCCAGGGCCACGGGGACCTGCCTCGGGCTGCTGGAGCACCGCCGGGGCCGCGGCTCCGTTTCCAGGGAGGGGACCCCAAATTTCAGATACGGCTGTGTTTGGGTGGCAGCACTGAGACCCGCTCGGGGTTCCCAGGAGAAGCTGCAGCTGCCTGGGACATCCCTGCAGCACCGAAACAGGGCTGGTGTGCAACGCCATCTCTGTGACGGTAAGCCCTCCAAGCACACAGACTTCAGCAGAAACTGCATTTATTTGGAAAAAAGCTTCCTGTAAGAGCAAAATATTCTGCAATTGCCCGTTCGGGGCTTCCTAAACCAAGGTTAGAGCAGCCCCCCGGGAGGGGATGCTGGGTTAGACGGTCTATTGGTAACGGTCGTGTTCCCAAAAGTCTGCTCCCAGTGTCGACTCGGTGCCTGGCACTTGGCCCCTCATCCTGGCCTTGGGAAGACAGAGCTTTCCATGCACAGCTCGGGAAAAAAGCTGTTAAAATTTCCATTTGCGTGCCTGCAAAAAAAATAACTGTAAGGGGAGTAAATAAATTAGTTGATTAGCCAAGAATTCAGCCCAGCTGCCTAGGAGTTACTCATTATTTTGCTGGCAGCTTTGGACTGGAGCCAAGTAGCCGCACTTGGCCGGTCCCGCGCCTCCCTGCGCACGTGGACTTGTTTTTAAAGTGCAGGGAATGGTGCCGGGCGCCATTTCACTGCGGTGGTTTTTGGTAGGGGTGGATGTCTCGGGCCGTGCAGGCTCCGCTGCTCCTTGCAGGGATAACGAGAGCCTCACTCGCGCGTCGGGCTGGGCTGGGAGCCGTGCAGGACCACGGCTCGCCTGGGCCTCTGCTCCTGGCGAGGAGAACTGCTTTGCTTCTCCGACCCAGGAATTTCCAGGCCCAGCTGACACCTGGAGAAGCAGCAAAAATAAATTATTTTTAAATCTGCATGGGCTTCTTTAGGAAGCTGGAACATGTGTCTTTTTTTAGGGTGCCCAGGTGCAGCAGACATGGTCATGCACGGGCAAGGGTCACCTCTTCCTCCGGCCGCAGCTGCTCCCCGGCACCTGGGCTCCCCAGGAGAGCCGGCAGCACCGCTGGGCGCGGGGGACACAGCGCAGCCCCGGCCGGTGGCACATGGGCACGCCTCTGGTGCACGTCCCAGCCCAAACCCTTGTCCCCTCGTCCGGGAGCCGGCTGGCCTGGTCCTTCCCTGCTGCACCGGCCACACTGCGGGGAGAGCGGAGCGGGTAGAGCTGCGGGTCCCACTCCTCGCAGGAAAGGCGAACGGGCGCTGTGTCTGCACCCCCCAACATCCAAACGGCGTGTGGAAGCAGGGGATGTCCTCCAGCGCAGGGACGCTCGGCCGGCACCCGGCTCCGTGTTAGGCTCAGCTCTGCTGCCGGCCACCTCGCTGGCAAAGGTGATGCTGTTACAGCTTCGTTCCTCCCTCAGCCGCGCAGGGGTCCTGTGGCAGCCGGGAAAAATGGTCCCTCCCAACTGTCCCTCTGCCACCCTGCCTCCGAAGGGCTCGAGTCTTCAGCCTCTGCAAAACGGAGCGTTCCCACTGTCCTGGGGAGGACTGGAGGCCGGGTGCCCTGGGAAGCGCTGAGCTCGGAGCCCAGTCCAGCCCAGGCAGCTCCAACCCCAGCTTGTGCAGCTAAAGCCAGGCAGCAGGAGAGGACCCACATCTCAGCTGAGATAGGAAACTCATGGCAGGTTTATTTTAAGGATGCATATTTTTATTTTTAAGTTTCCCCTTTGTAGCTGTTCCTAATCTGATAGCAACGCTTTTTAACCCTTCACTTTGATGCAACAAAACCGGCGCTTTTCCTTTTAAGCCTGTTTAGCGTTGCAAGTGGGTTTGGGTGGATCTGGCAGAAACCGGGCAGATCGCTGTCAAAAAGCTGAGTACATTAATGGGGATGAACTGTTGTTATGGAGAAAGCCTTGGGGAGGCTGGCGCTGGGGGTGAGTTTGGGGTGCTTAGAACAAGGGAATATTCCCATTACACTGGAAAAGCAGCCTCTGACGGGGGGTGTTGGTGCAATCAAGGGGCAGGTTATACCGAGGCCTGCCGTTGGGAAGCAGGCGTCTCGGCACAGCCTTTGAGCCATCTTTCCTCCCCGAGTGACGCCTGCTGGGGAGCGGGGGGCTCTGGCAGGGTGCAAGGCTCCAGCAAGCAGCGGCGCGTGGGGCGGCACGACCGGGCCAGGCTGCGGCTCCCCACGCGCGCAGTGCCTGCAAGGGGAGGAAGCAAAGCAGACGAAGACCGGTGTTCGAGTGAGCTTTACAGGTTTATTAATTTTTGGTTCTGTTCACCTAGAAAAGGTAAAGAGCGTCTCTTAGCCCCAGATTGCGATAAGGCAGCTGCAGTGCTGCCTTCCCAGGGCAATTCCCCACTCCCGGGGACGGACGGATCCGGCTGGCCCTGCTGCAGCTTCTGTGCCGACACCTCAACCGCCCGGTTTGGGGGACAAGGCATCCGAGCGAGCGCCCGCCAACGGCGCTCAGGTGGGAGACCCAGCCCTCCGCTCTGCGGCAAGCGCCCGGAGCGGAGGGGGACGGCTGGGCACCGCACCCCGCGCGACCAGCTGGTGATGTGCAGCAGGATGCCCGGGTGGGACGTATGGGTGGGATGCCGGGGTGGGATGTATGGGTGGGATGCCGGGGTGGGATGCCCTCCAGAGCCTCCCCAGCCTGCACAGGGAAGGGAACAGCTATGGCCAGGAAGCTCCTATGCATCCGCAATGCCACCAGCGGGGACCTGAGGCCGAGGGTGAAATGGCGTTGTCGCCTGCCAGCGAACAGAGAGCCATCGGCTCCGTCCTGCGCGCTGCCCGAGGGAGAGCAACACGGGGTGGTGCCAGCAGGGTAGCAAATTTCGGCCCTCCGGGTGCTCTGCGGGTGAGGCCTGACTGCGTGGGTCCTTTTATCTTCTTCCTTCCAGTTTCTTTGCTGAACAGGGTGTAACTTTCCTGGCCATGTATTCCTCAGCCAAAAAAAAATCACTCGGTGCTCTTTAAGGAGATGACTTTCTCTAGGACTTGCCCTTCAGCCAGTGCGTGCAGCAGCCACAGGCCCGCAGGGGACCTCACCGGCGTCTGTCCATGTAAATAAAACCCTTGCAGACCACGGGAGGGATTTTGTGCATCGTGCGTCTTACCACAGAAATCAAATCCAGTGAAGTTTTTAACAGAAACAAAGAAAGTATCAGTCTGCGTCAGACTTTTTAGCCCAGGATGGGGCTGGGTCGGCACTCGGGCTCATCTGGGCTCTCTCTGGGATGGGCTTCACCTCGCCGGGTAAGCGCTGCCCTGCAGAGCTGCCCCGAGCGAGCTCTTTGGGAGCGGGAGGAGGGAGGCAATTCGGCACTGGGGAACCAGACTGCAAGATCAGAAAGGGCACGATGTAACAGGGCCGGCGATTTCGGGCTGGCTGGCAAGGCTTTCCTCGGGCGCACCCGGACAACCCGTCCCTGCATCCCACTCAGACGGGGCTCGCTTCATGGTGGGGGGAAGAAGGGCTGAGCACTGTAAAAGTGAGCTAGATTTGGGCAGATTTAGGCGCGGGGCTGATGGCCCAGCTGGCGGTGATGGGCGAGGTGAGAGCAGAGGAATGTGCAGGCAGCTGCAAACCTGCTTGCTGCAATACTTATAGCGAGAAGAAGGAAATAAAAAATAAGATGTGATAATAATAACAAAACTGAGCTGGCCCCTCAGGCTCTCAGTAGTCGAGTGCGTTGCTGAGCATCCCCCCAACACACACCGCTGAGCCCCCACGGCTGGAAACCACGGGTTCGCTTACCCTGAGACAGGCTGAAACCGCGAATGTCAGCTACGCAGACACCCCGAAGCAAGGCTCGCGCTTACGGAGCACGGCCCGGGCTCGACGCCTGCTCCACTCATCACCCGCGGCAGAGCGGGGCTGCCCTCGGTAACACCACCCTGCCTCCTCATTGCTTGTGGAAGTAAAGCCTGGGTCAGAGCTGGGGCTGAGAGTGCCTCCGAGCCTCCCAAAAGTCCGTGGGGATTTGAACCTGACTTTGCAGCATTGGGACACCAAGTCCCAGTATCCCAGCATCCCAGTATTCCGGGCACAGCAGCTCCGGGCTACGCACGCTGCGGCAAGCAGCAGCTCCCGGGGCTTTCTCCCAGCAGCGGAGCACGGTTTAACTACAGTGGCAGAACGGGCAGGGGCAGAGCTGCCCGGAGGGAGGGCGGCCTGTGGCACGGCACGGCAGAGAGGGTCCTGGGCCCCCTGCTCAGTGCGAGCTCGGCTTTGCTCCCACGTGCCCCCGTTTGCGGCTTTTGGCCTTATTCACTGCCTTCTGCTGTGCGCGGAAAGCCTCCAGCTGCCGAGCAGCCGGGAGCGGGGCTGCTCTCTGTAGCTCTTGGCACGGCCGCCTGCCGCGCAGGAGCCCGGAGGGGGCTGCTTTCGGGAGGCCCCTCCGGGTGCGGGGCCGCCCGGGCAGGGGAGCAGCCCGGCCGGGAGCAGAGGGGCTGCTGCGACAGCCTCCGAGAGGGACCCCCGTGCCCACGTCTCACGCTTATTTTTTAGGGTAAAGAGTTCAAAGCTAAATTCAAAGAATGGGAGCAGGCACTTCGTTTCCAAAAAAGTGGTAAAAATATATTTGCTCCTTTTTAATGCAACTCCAGCTCCTTCTCCAGCAACGCTTTCAGACTCCCACAGCTGGGGGATGCCGCTGCGAGCTCACAGCCCCAGCCCCTTCTCCCCGGGCATCCCAGGCAGCCGGCCCCCCCCCAGAGGGGACCTGTCCCCCGGGATGCCACTGGGCTGGCTCACCCGCACGGTGACAGAAAGGGCCCGGTTTCCTCCGCCGCTTGCCGCGCTGCGCGGTGAACGGCAAACACCCAATGGTGGCTGTGGCTGCCCCTGCGCCCCCCCACCCCCCCGCCGCTGCGCCTGCCCCGCATCTCTCCGCACCCCACAAGTTTCTTTCGAAACTCCTTTTGTCCTGAGCCGCAAGGGTCCTCGCAGCAGGGAAAAAGCACAAGAGGACAGAAGTGGCGCTGGTCACGGAGCAGGCCGTGCATGGGTGATGCGTTCCTCGGGCCACCCTCCGGGCTCTTGCCGTGCCGGTCCCGGGCAGGCAGGTGGGATGGCGCTGGCAGTGGCGTGGGTCGGTGGGTTGGAGAACGACAGCAAGCTGACCTTGGGCAGGGTGCAGACTTCCCCGGGTGCGACAAAGCCGGTGCTGTCACCCCTCTGCCGCGGGGCGCAGGGCGGAGGGGGGTGTGTGAGCAGGGGGCTCCGGGTGGAGCTGAGCCTCTGCCCCCAGCCCGGGTCATAGGGCTCCCTGCTCCAAGGAGACGGGCTCCTGGCGCTGCCTCTTCCGCTGCCTCTCCCGCTTGGCCCGCCAGCACACGTAGGCGGCCACCAGCAGGCCCACCCCGAAGATCAAGGTGGCCACCGAGACCATCTTAGCGATGTCCATTTGTGGGCCATTGATGGTGAAGGTGATGCACGTCGCTGCTACGCCGATGACCACGGAGACGATGCCAAAGGGGAAGATGCAGCGGTACCAGGATTTCTCCGTCCCGCCCGTGGCCAGGGCCAGCTTGTTGAGCGTAGCGGTGGAGTCGGTGGCCGTGGCTAGTGGCAGCCCTGGTTTTCCTCCCTGCAGGCAAGTGAGTGAGTTGGACTTGCAGCCCATCATGTTGGCGAGAAAACCCAAGAACAACCAGCGCAAAGTGTGGGTGGGTTGGACGCGTGTCGCCGTCCCGCCGCGAGCCGCTGCCGTGACGGTGATGGAGGGAAGAGGCCGGATCCTACATGGCCGGCTCTGTCCGGCGGCTGGGGTGCCTCGGTGCAGTCGGGCCGGGATCTCGGCTGTCGCTGCTCTTGCTCCCAGCTTTGGCTCCCGGCTCTTTTGCTGCCAGAAGGAGCGAGGATTGGTGGTGGCAGCAGTGATCTCATGCCGGTGGGAGGACCGGCTTGGCCTCGCTGCCTGTTAACTGTTTCAGGCTCTGGGCAGGCAGCTGCCTGCAGCCCAGCCGGGATCGCTCCCAGGACGTGTTTTTGCAGTTTGCATCTGCTTTCACCAGCCCGGTCCTCGGCCAGGCAGCGCTGGGACAGGGGAGCTGGCCCGGCTGCCACCGTCCCCGGCTCCCCCCAGGGCTACGCCGCTACAAGTACTGCTCTGGGCAGCCCCATGGGCAGCGACACCCCGAAGGAACAGGCAGTGGGGCTTCCCGCCAGGCCACCGAGCCCCTTCACCCCCTCCTTGCACACCACCACTGCCATCACCTCCTTCCAAGTTGCTCTTTCTCCCTGTGTCACCCTCTGCCAGCTTTTTATTTTTGTGGGCAAAACCTTTTTGTGCCCCCTTTCCCCATGAGTGGATCAGGGAGACACCGAGGCTGGACCTGGCACAAACAGTTCCCATCTCCACTTGCTTCTCCCGCACTGTTTTTTTTTTAAATTGGTTTTCCTGAAGGAGAGGGGAAAGGAATGAGCTATCGCAGCAAACCTAAGAGACCTGGAGCCTTTCCCAGGTCGGAGCTTCCCCCGAGCCGATGGGGCCCAGCTGCATTTCTGCATCAGCTGAGAGGAAGCCAAAAATAAGGGAGAAAATCCACATTGTGGCAGTAAACGGAGCTGTGCAGCGAGGGCGGCTCTGCGGGAAGGGGAGAAGATGGAGGAGCAGAGGAGCTGACGGGACATCGGGGCATTAGTCCTGACCCCAGGTGTTATCTTCCCTTTGCTTGTGGGCACTGCTCTTGCCTACACCAGCCCCGGGGAAATCATCCCACTCCAGTGAAGGGGGAGAACAAAGCTGGTTTGAATCAGGCTTTGCCCTGCTCCAGGCTTGGTCTGGAAAGCTGCCCAAGACAAAAGGGAGGTGGCTGGGTCTGCAACAGCCCCGGCATCTCTCCTTGCCTCTAGTTTCTTAAATACCATCCATAACTACCAAAGGTGGAGGTCGATCAGGGATCAGATGAATTCCCAAATTCCAGGGAGGCTTTGTGCTCCTGCAGCATGGCCCGAGGCAGACAGCTGCAGGGCACTGGGGACCTGAGCAGAGGCTCTGGCTGTGCAAATAAATAGCACTGGGAAAATAACCACCGGTAAGTGCGATGTGCAGCACGCGCTGCTCTGCAAGCTGAGAAGCTCTGTTATTTATTCTCCTGATTGCTCATTAGAGGGGAAGAAACAGCACAACCCCAGTGGTCAGCGAGAGCCCCGCGAGCGGCGATCTGCCTTCTCACGGCCGATGCTCCCCGGTACAAGCTCAGTCTTCAGTTTCACGAAGCTTTGTCAAACTTGAAACCGTTCAGGCTTAAATCGTCTGTGCTGAGCATCTACCCTACGCTGAACCCTTGAAGAAAATTTCAGCTAAAATAGTTCAGCTGCTGCCGAGAGCAGGGTCTGGAAGAAACCAGCCCAGTGACAAGCCTGGCAACGGGCCGCTTTCCACACCGCTTCCCAAGAAACCGGTGATGTGATGACACCCCTAAATACAGCTCCGGCCCCCCGAGAGGATGCTGCTGCCAACTCGGCCTGCCCTCACGGGCAGGGCCAGCTACAGCGTGCACACGGCTCCAGCCTAAAGCCAGCGTCCGCTCACCGGGCGGGGAAGGACTTGGCTCCCGTCGAACGCGACGCCGTTAGTGGGCTGGCAGCTGTGGTCACGCTGTACGTGGTTCTGACGAGCGGTGACTGGCCTTGAAAAGGCAGGAGGTGACAAAAACAAGCTCCAACTGGTTAGAAAAACACGACGACGCTTTAATACATCTCAAGTTCTGATCCGTGGCGAATTTGAATATTTGACTCAGCAACACTGATGTGATCCTGCTGTAGCAACCCTGTGCAGCTCCGTTGCACCCGCTACTGTGTTAACAACCGCTTAAAATTACACAGGAGTAAAACATATATCTGTACACATACATATGCATGTATACACGCATATATCAAACTCCTCCATATATCCACTGAGACACGGCTCACCGGATTGCCTTTCCAAAGCAGCAGCAGGCAGCGCTGCCTGCACGGCCAACCCAGGACCCTCTAAAAGTCCAGAGATGGTTGAAAAGGAATTTGTTCTGTAAGTACTGAAACAGCAGCTAGCAGAGGCACACGGGCCGTGCATCACGGCGCCACGCTGGCTTTGCCCCGGCTTGAAAGGAAAAG